ACCAAAACTTCAGCTGAATACTAATCACCACACAGGTAAATTATCTAAAGCTCCGTAAAGAGCCACTTGAAAGAAGCAGGCAAAATACACTCTGGGGCTATCAGAAACAGTAGTTCCTTTTCCCACCAGCCAGAGTTAAAGCCTTGTATATAGTGCCTCACTAGAAGTACAAAAATAGCCCTAAACTAAAGGCTGTTCATGTCTCACCTAAACAATTTAAAAGCAAGCACTGAAAGAATCAGCTTCTAACATAAAAATAATAAAAATCAAGAATATGTAAAGGAAAACAAATATTTGCACATAACACCCAAAAAGTTAAAATTTAGGTATCAAATAAAAAATTATCAGGTATTTAAAAGAGTAGAAAAATGACCCCTAATGAAAAGAAACATCAATAAAATAAAGCAAATCAGAAATGACACATGATAAAATTAGTAGAAAAGGACATAAAGCATTTATTATAACTGTATTCAATATGTTCAAAAAGAGGAAAGACTGAGTATATTAAAAAGAACAATGGAAAATATAAAAAGAGAAAATTCATATTGAGTTTCAGACATAATATTCCTAAATACTTTTGCATTTCATACAAAAATACATTAGATGAGATTAACAGCAGTCTGCCCACTGAAAAAGAAAATTGAAATTGAAGACAATACAAACTATCAGCAAAGAAACATAAAGGGCAAAAAGCTGAAAGCAAAATACACAGAGCATTACTGAGCCATGAGCAAGTTTAAACACCCTAATACCTAACTTGTCACCTACAGAAGCTAGAAGAGGGTGAAGAAAGAAAAAAAAAAAAAAGAAATATGGCAAAGATTTTCTAAGGCTGATAAAAACTCTAAATTCACAATTTTAAGTCGATAAACCTCAAATACAAAAAAAAAGGGATAAATGCACTAGGATTTATCATAACCAAATTGTTTAAAACCAATGATAAGAGGGAAAAAAAAAATCTCAAAAGCAGTTGAAAAAGTTGCCACAAAATTGTGGAAGAGCAAATATGGGAGCAAATATGGGAGACTTCTGATCAAAAACAATGTAATATAGAAGATGGCACAACAACATTTTTGAAACCCCACCAATCTAGATTTCTGTACACAATGAAAATATCTTTTAACACATAAATGTGAAATAAAAACTGAAATAATTCGTCACAAATAGATCTGAACTGTGAGATTACCAAAAGCAGAAAAAGTATAGTAAATAATAAATACAGCTTTGATTTTTAAATTATTTACAAATTAACCCATTATTTAAATAAAAAATAATAACATGTGGGACAGCTAACACACACAGACACAAAAAATGTATGAACAAAATTATACAAATTGTGGGACATGGGAAATGGAAGTACACTGTTTTAAATTTTGATTCTATATGTGAAGTGGCATAATACTACTTGAAGGTAGATTAATAAACTTAACATGTATGTGATAAAGCCCTAAAGTAACAAGTAAAAACCAAGCAAGACAAAGAGAATTAGTCAATAAGTCAACGAGTTAAACTGAAATCATAACACAAATGCTCAACGAATCAAAAAAGACAGAAAGAGAAAAAGAAAACAAAATGGAAGCAATGAACAAATCAAACAAACAGAAAATGAAAAACAAGAATGTAAATTAAAAACCCATCATATAATAATACATTTAACTCCCCCAGTTAAAAGGCACAGTATTTCAGGTTATCTAAAGTAGCAAGGCCTACCTATATGGTGCCCACAGACAACTCACTTTAAATACTTGAATGAATTAAAAAGTTAAACAATGGATAAATATATACTGCAAGAGCATTAAAATAAAGCTAGAATAGCTATGTTAATATCAGACAAAGTAGATTTTAGGTCAAAGACTATTACCAAAGATAAAAAAGTTATTTCATAATGCCACAGGGTTTAATATTGTCAAATGGACATAATATTCCTAACTATTTTTTGCAGCTTATGTCAAAATACATGAAACAGAAAGTAACAGATCTGAAATGAGAAACAGAAATATCCACTTTTATAACTGGATATGTCAACACTCCTCTGTCAATGAGAGCTAGTACAAGTAAACAGAAAATAACCATATGAAGACTTGCAAAAGACTATGAACCAACTTGACACTTACACAATACTCCAGCCAACTAAACATACATTTTCTTTAAAAATATACACAGAAAGTCTACCAAGAGAGATCACAAAGCAATTTTCCATAAGTTTACAAGTCTTCAAGTCATATATTTTCTCTGACCATAGAATTAAATTAAAAATCAAAACCAAATTCCAATGTAAAGTCCCCAAATATTTGCAAACATTTAACACAATTCTAATTAACCCATGAATAAAAGAAAAAATCAAAATAGCAATTATAAAGTATTATAAATTGAAAGTGAAAAAATAACAGAATGTGTGAGATGCTGCCAGAACAGTCTTAGGGTAAATTTATAACACTAAATGCCTACATTAGAAGAGATAGGTCTGGCTGGGCATGGTGGCTCATGACTATAATCTCAGCACTTTGGGAAGCTGAGGTGGGAGGATTGGTTGAAGCCAGGACCAGCCTGGCAACACAGCAAGACCTTGTCTCTATAAAAACTAAAAAAATTAGTTGAGCATAGTGGTGTGCACCTGTAATCCCAGCTATTCAGGAGGCTGAGATGGAAGGATCATGTGGGCCCAAAAGGTCAAGGCTACAGTGATCCGTGATTATACTACACTCTAGCGTGAGTGACAGAGTGAGATTTCAACTCACAAAAAGAAAAAAGAGATAGTTCTTAAGTCAATGACCTCAGTTACTACCTCAAGAAAGCAAAAAAATTGTTAAACTCAAAGCAACCTGAGAGTAAATAATAAAGATCAAAGTGGAAACCAATAAAACAGAAAATGAATAAAGAAAAATCAATACAACAAAAGTTGATTCTTTAAAATCTTCAAAAGTGATAAAATCATAGCCAAGGCGAAAAAATTGGAAGAAGACACAAATCAGCAATAACAGAAATGAAAAAGAAAACATTATTACAAATGTATACATGTTAAAATGAGGCAAATTACAAATAACTTAATGTCAATATATGCATCAACTTAGATGAAATTAGCAGATTTCATGAAAGACACAGAATTATTAGAAGAGCTTATTCAAATTTAATAGTTAAATTAATAACCTTATGGCCATTAAATAAGGTTAAACTGTGGTTAAAAACTTATCCACAAAAATGTATCTATTGCAACTCTAGACTAATATCCTTCATGAATATAAATGCAAAAATTCTAAACACAAAATTAGCAAATCAAATTCAACAATATACTGAAAGTTTAATAATATTTCATGATAAAGTGATGTTCATTCTGTGACTGCACAGTTAACATTTAAAAGTCAAAGCAATTCACTATATTAGCAAATTTTTAAAGATAACGTTTCAAAAAAGACACAGAAAAAGCACTTGAAAAGTTCAAACCTCCATTCCTGGTAAAAACTCTTAGCGCACTAGGAATAGAAGTGAGTGTTTTCAACCTGAGAAAAGACATTTACAAAAACACTACAAATTATGCTTAATAGTGAAAGAGTGAAAAAGCAAAAACATATGCTCATCCTGTCTACTCAAATTGTATTCTAGCCAGTGTAACAGGCAAGAAAAACAATATTTAAAAAAACACAGTCAGATTGAAAAGGAAGAAGCGAAATATCTTTATTTGCAGAGCTGTCTAAATCTGCAAAAATTTACTAAAACTAATATGTGAGTCCAATAAGTTTACAAAATGCAGGTTAATATAAAAGTTACTGTATTCCTAAATATTGGCAATGAACAATCAGAATTTAAAATTTAAAAAACAAGCCAATCTTATCCAAAGTTTTGATAAAAATTGATAGCCTGATTCACCAATTTAAATGGAAATAGAAAGGACCTAGAATCCTTTGGGGGGGAAAATTCATATTGAAAACAAATAACCCTCAATCCTTAATCTAACACCATATAAAAAAGGTTCACTCAAAATGGATACGCGGTATATTCATATAATATATGACTACTCAGCAACATGTAACTGCATGTAAAAACACTGATACACATAAGTTGATACATAAATACAAAATTTTGCTGAGTGAAAGAAACCAAATTCCATCTGTACTCTATTTCATTTATATAAGATTCTAGACTGTGCAACTAATGTACAATGAAGACAGATCAGTGGATGCTTAGGAATAGGAAAATGAGGAAATAAAAAAAATTTTAAAGTAATAAATATGTTCATTACTTTGTGATGAAGGTTTTGAAACATCAAGTGAATTTCTGTGTTAAAAAAAAAAACTCCTCAACTTTAGATATATGTAGTTTACTGTACATACTGCAATAAAGTTGTAACATTTTTTTTCTCTATTTCATTAAAAATTAGAGCGATCAAAAAGAAAGGATACGGATATATTACAATGACCTAAAACAAACTATTCAGTATTTTATTTATAAATTAATACTCTAAAAAGATTTTACAAAATATTTATATTAAAAATTATAGGCATATTAAACAAAATCCTACCACCAGTCATATTAGAGTAGCATAACTGCTGATAATACGTCTTCTTTTTTTGCCGGGCTCAGTGGCTCAGCCTGTAATTCCGCGCCTTTGGGAGGCTGAGGTGAGTGGATTGCCTGAGCCCGCGGGTTTGAGACCCGCCTGGGCAGCGAGACATCGTCTCTACAATAAATCAAAAAATCAGCCGGGCGTGGTAGTGCATGCCTGTAATTCCGGCTACTTGGAAGGCTAAGGCGGAAGGATCGCCGGAGCTCAGCAGGTCGAGGCTGCGGTGGCCAGGAGCGGCCACTGCACTCCAGTCTGGGCGACAGAGTGAGACTCCAACTCAAAAAAAAAAAAAACCAAAAAAACAAACAAGTCTTCTTTTTGATATTAGCTGTATTTCTCTTACAGTTTAAATTCTTTTGGTAATAATTTGCTTTAATGATTTTTTATTAGCACACAGATATGTATAATAAGACTTCCCCCCAACATAGTCATTTCATACCTGCATTGGGGAGCGAATTGTTACCTTCTTACTTCCTTCTACTGTATCAATTTGACAAACAATAGATCTTTCAACTCCAGACTCTCTATGTCTTACACAGTAGAGACGTCGTCCCACTTTTGTTAAAGGAATCTTATCAGCAGTAGAATGGTTAACGGGTGCTAAATTAAATAAACATGTTTGAAAGTTTATTATAATTCATTACATATTAATTAGGTACATGTCAAATACCAGAAATATCAGATGACTGTCTTAAACTTATAATCCATACAAAGAAATATTTTAAGACGCCACCATGTACTTCCAAAGCATTCATCAAAAATCTTCAAAGCATTTCACCAAAAAAATTTTAATTAAAAAAAATCTCATTTAGGAGTTTAATCTAAAGCAACAATAACCAACCTTTTAAAGATAACTGAGTAATAAGAGGAATTGTTATAAAAAATAAGAATACTCTGGTTTGCTGTCAGAATAACCAGAGCCTAATTCCTTCAGGCAGACATTGGCAGAAACCAAAACAGATACAATTTTTCAGTTTTTAATTTTTCCAGCAACCTGTGTCATTTTTCATTTATATCTTGAATTTGACTAAACAAAATATTACAGATGTATATCTAACACATGTTGTACTAGGGATAAAATTACTTATTTACATAAATTTCATCTACCAAACCCATTGATACAAATGTTAGTTCACAAACAAACAGGTAAAATAGATGAGAACAATTCATTGAGAATGCTATGACAGCACCTGAAATACTTGTTATATATTACTTTGTAACTGGAATAAAGTATTAGCTATATTTTAGTAGCCCCACCTCCATGTGTCTAATTAACCTTTCAAATGATATCCTCCTCAATAACTACTTAAATATTTGAATATCAAAAACTGAGGGCAAGGGAAGGCTTTGATAGTCATAATAACAAAATATTATAATTTAATTAAATTATATTTCACCTTTCACAAAAATTAAAAACATCTGAGAAGCAGAAAAAACAAAGAAAAAATCTCTACCATAACAGACAGAACATAAAAAACTACTTACAAATCCAAAAACCATTAAATGTACCATTTTCATGAATTCAAACTTTAATTTGAATTAATTAAGCTGCATACTGGTAGAATACTCTAAAGTTATATCAAATGTGGTTCAAAGAAAAACCACCAACATCTAAATATCTATGGTCTGTTAAAGCTGAATGGGCATGAAAACTAATATTTTCCCTCCCCACAACCAAGCAGGAAATTACCAAGCTTTATCCAGTGGTAAAGAATGAATTTGGAATACCAAGATTTAGTGACATTGGTAACCAAAACACTGGAAAGAGAAAAAACAGTTCTCAACTTATTAAGAAGGAGCTAAAACCTGTAAGATACAACAAATGAGTAAAATGGCACATAAAATGCAATTTAAAACAAATTAAGGCCCTAGGAAAGTAATATATCACTTACTAAGAAGAATGAAGAAGAGTTTACTGCTTAGGCTGGTCATTGCACTGAAGTGATCATTGTCCTTAGTTCGGACATAATCCATATTTAAACTCTCTTCATTTTTCAATATATAGGATTTTGCCATAGGAACGTTGAGTACACTAAAAGAATCACTTGGCGAAACAGAGATAGTAAGTCCAAGAGAATTTAAAATCATAAATGGTGCTAAATCTCTTATGAAGACAGGAGAAGATCCAGTGGCAGCTTCTGTAAATGCCTAACAAGAAAGAGTTATCTTAAACAAAGTGAAATGTGGAAAACTAAACAAGTAGAACACTAATGAACACATGACAAATAACTAAGTTAATAACAAACTTTTTATTCAATAAAGTGATCAACTCAGACTAGTATATATCAATATTTAAAAGTTTCAAATTTCTTTTCTTACCTGGACCAAATTATTTAACATTATAAGACCACATTTGGATAATGTAATATTTAACTGGTCCTTTGAATAGAAACTGATGATAGTTTTATATTCTGGCACTTTGTAGTTTTCTTCTTCAGTGTCTGATGCAAGAATGGCCTTTTTTGCTTTCTTTTTCATCTAAAATGATAAATAATAGAAACTAAGAAAAAATTGTTCTTAGGAGCACAACATTATTAGACAAAACTCAGGAACAACATTAGAGTGAGCAATAAATTTTATCTGTTCTACTGTCTTACTGAAATTACTTGGACATCAGTCAACTAAGATCATGTAGGACAAGAGGAAAAAAATAATCTCAGTTTCAGTGATAGCAAAATGGCAGGTATAATAATTTAGAAGGGATTTAGAATAACTAAAATTACAAAGTGTATGTAGCATCTAAATGTAAATTTAAAGCACACAATTCATAGTAACATAAAAATTCAGACCAAGAAAAGTAATTTAGTCTATTGGTCATACTAATAAATAAATAGAAATCTAGGGACTTATAAAGTCAGACAATAGTAGCAAAACAGTTTCATAAACCTAGGACTCATAACAATCAATACCATATGCTGCATTTTAGGATTCGTAGATTCACTGCCATGTACACTCTGGCCTGAAAACCACCAAGGGGAATTCTTTTATTCAAATTCTTCATCTAAAATATCTGAAAAATTAAATGATCTAATACGAAAAAGGTGGATATGTAAGGCTAGCCACCTTTGTGTGATTTTAACTGATTTTAAGTCCCTGAAAATTTGTCTGCAGGTACACTGAATCATTATTAGGCAGGAGATAAGCTAGTCATCCTGCAGTCTCTTGCTTAAGAAGCTCAAATTCACCCAGCTAAAGGCCCAGATTCTCATGATTACTTAAATCCACAGTATATTTCAAACAAATAATAATATACGTCCGTGTGTGTGTGTATAACATATACATACATACTTCAGAGGACAAAGAAAACTTGAGATAGACAACAACCTACAGAGAGATGATGGAAGCATTATAACATAGTGGTTAAGAATGAGGACTCTAGAGCTAGATTTGCAACCCAACTCTTCCACTTTGTAGCTATTACTACCTTCAGGGAAGTCTCTTAACCTCTCTAGTCTCAGTCCCTTCACATGCTAAAATGGGTGTTGTAAGAATTAAAGATATATAATTTAAAACAATGTTTAGCATATAATAAATGTTACATAATTATTTGCATTAGAAGTACAGACAGTATTGACCTTGTATATAAAAATTATATTCAGAGGTTAAGCAGGGAAGCATGTGGACAAGGCCCACCATGAGACAGCTTAAACTGTGTTGTGATTAAAATGCCTGGTGTAGTGTAAACATTCTCAATTTCTGAAATATTTTTTTCAGACTTCAACTATATATAATGGAGAAATGATGACAATGGGGAAGGCTACACATGTGCAGGGGCAGGAAGTATATGGGAAATCTCTGAACATTCGAGTTTTGTTGGGAACATAAATCTGCTCTAAAAAAATATAGTATTTCAGAAATATGTATATACATATACACACATATATACCTTGATTCCAAGATTCCATGGTCTAAAATCCTCAGTCTGATCAATTTCTAAGGGTTCAAGCAAAGGCTCCCATACACCAAACATTTCATTATAATAATGCACCTATAGGGAGAATTTTAAATTTTTTAAATGAAACATTCTGGTATTTTATAAAATAATCTTCCATGCTGTTCTTGCCACAGATTTTGGCTCTGCTATTTCTTCTATATGAAAACCAATCCACATGTCATTCAGCAACTTCCTATAAGCACTTCCTCAGCACTTTACTCACCTGACTAACTTAATAATCCATATTCATTCTACACACTTTAATTCAGAAAAAACCCTCTTTTAAGCATCATTCCCTGATTTCCAGACTGGGATGAGCATCAAACACTATGTTCATCTATCACATATTATTTACTTTTTTTTTTTTTTTTTTTTGAGTTGGAGTCTTACTCTGTCAGCCGGACTGGAGTGCAGTGGCACAATCACAGCCTCCGCAAACTCAACCTGCTGGGCTCAGGTGATCCTTCCACCTCAGCCTTTCAAGTAGCTGCAACTATATATGCCACCATGTTGGGCTAATTTTTTGATTTATTGTAGAGACAAGCTCTCACCATGTTGACAAGGCTGGTCTCGAACCTGTGGGCTCAGGCAATCCTCTCGCATCAACCTACCAAAGTGCTGGGATTACAAGTGTGAGCCACCGCGCCCAGCTATTTACATTTTTAAACATGACTGTCTACCTCCATAGACTGAAAGCCCTAGAAGGCAAGTATCCCGTGACTCAATGAATGTTTATTCATATTAATGCCCTGAACTTCTTGGACAGTCTAATTCAAATCCTCTACAACACACACAGAATTCTAACAAAAATCTGACAATATGAAAATTAGTCACAGTCAATTATAACTCTATTAGTACATAACTCTTATCAACAACCTAAATAATATTGCAGTTTATAAATTTTCATATTCACTGTTATAATGTAGAATAATAAGATTAGATTCCAATAGATATAAAATCAGTTAATTAAATTTAAAAATTCCTGGAGAGCATAGGTAGATGGATCCTAAAACAAAATATGTTTGTTCAAATTAAATATCTCCCAAATAATATCAACTTTAAAAGTTGGTTTTAAAGTACTCTCAAGAAAATTTGAAAGATTTTAATGGACTCTCACTGGAGTATAAAATATACAAAAAATAAGGCACATCCTTCCAATTCTTTATATTACTATTAGAAGAGATTAACCATATATTCAGAAACTTGGTTTTTTATCCTTTTAAATAAAAAAATACTGAATTTCAACTCTTAAAAATAAAAATTCTGAATCTAATCAACAACTTGTTTTCTAAAACATCACTTTTAAGTTGATCAAATCAACTGAAATATAAACTTAATGGGGATATGTGCTTTAAAACAAAAATAATGTATCCATAAAAGCAATTATTCAAGGGTAAAATTTGTAAGCTTGCTTCCAGAAGTTTTTGAGCCTACATCAAATTAACAGTAAACTTAAACAGCTAAATAAGATTCCCATAATATTAAATGTGTATCATTATCTGCTATAAAGCTGAAAAAAATGCTATATATGCTTACTTCTAGCTCAAGCTGACAGTGTAGATTTATTAGGGAACTCCAGTTTTTGCCTTCCCCTGAAAAACTTGACTTTGCCAAAAGCATAGGCACTGTTCTATGACCAACTCCAGCTTCAAGAACTATAAAAATAGAATCAATGTTCATTTTTATCATCTCTCCTTTGGGTACAACTTCATTTGTGGAAGCTATTTTTTCAGTTTCATTTGATTCTTCAAGGAACCACATTTTTAAATTCTTTGTATCCTTCTTCTCCCATAAATGTGCTGCAGAAGAAGTAGTTTCTTTTGGGGTGGTTTCCTTAGTTGTAAAAAGTGCTGCAGTTATGGTAATTGAGGTATTTATAATAACTGGTGAAACCTAAGTGGAAAAAGATTAAACTAATTAAAAATATACATATACCACTTTCAGAAATATCTATTTTAAAAAAAAATTGTATATACTTGCTGAAGGAATATGAGGAATTAGTACCAAACTAACATTACTACTACAAAATAGTGGATACAATTTATTGCCTATCAAGTTTTAAAAATTTACATAACTAATTTTGATTTGTTAAAATATTTACATGAATCTTATAGTCAAACTGATCAAGTATAATTTCAACTAATTATATTAGAGATATTAGATGTTAACTACAAAAGCAGTCAAATGTCAATAATACAGAATACCATTTATTATAGAATGAATAGTCAATAATATCATTTTGTAAATGTCTCATAAAAATGTATTTTCAAACACACAAAAACATCTATATTTTGCTTATTTAGCAATTAAAAGACTTGTTATAATAACTGCTTATATCTAGGTTTTACTAATTTTTTTTAAAAGTACACTAAAGATTTGAATGATTACATGTTAATTTACCTTTACTGTCAGGGATTTTACTGATACATCAATCACTTGTGGATCTGTACCTATCGTAGTAGCCTGATAAAACAAGTCACAGGGCTGTAAAACCTGAGAGAGAAAAATCAGTACAACTAAATTAATGTTTAAATAAAAAATATTTCCATTTAAAGACTTTTCTAGCAATAGCAACTATATCAAATAAACAAGTTAGTAAAAATAACTATACAAAACCTAGTGACTCAATAACACATTTCTTAGCTATTCTTGTTATTATTTATAAAAATAAGTATTAACAACACTAGCAATATTAATATAAAAGATAAATGAAAGTATTTCTGAAATATACTTAAAATATAAAAAACTATAAAACTTGTATTATATATTTTACTTTACTTACTAAAATAAAATTGTATAGTGCTACTTCTTCCCTTGTAAAAAGAAAATGAAGTAAGTTAATCTACATAGGAAAAGCTACAAAAGGTAAGAAGAAAAAAAGTTACAGATACACTAGATTTATTAAATAATATTTATCCTCTCTTATGGTTCCCAAGAGTCTCATCCCATTATGACCTAAAGTCAAAAATCTCATCAATTCTGAAGTCAAGGCAGGCAAATGAGTTTCTTGATTATGTTTCAGGTCCAGGAATAATTCTCTGTGGCTCTCAGCTTCAATCTCTGAGTCAGTCTTCTTTTTTTTATAAAACATAGGTCAAGTCTGTATAACTAACAAGCTAACAAAGGGGAAAACAGAATAACAAGAAAGTGCTAACTAATCACCCCAAAGCAAGAATACAGAGAATAACACAGAACATAAAACATGGAACAAATAGTATGAACAGTAACAGGCAGATTTAAACCCATGTATAACAGTAATTACAGTAATGTAAATGTACTGAATATCTCAAAAGGATTGTCAACTATATAAAACAAACTAATAAATAATACTTAATCCTGTTGACAAAAGACATAACCACAGCTTAAAGATAAGGAGATTGAAAGGTTGAAAGAATAAGGACAGGAAAAGATATACCATGCAAGTAACCCCCAAAAGCTGTAACAGCTATACTAACAGCAGCCAAGTAGACTTTAAGAACCATTTCCAGAAATAAATAGGTCATGTTATAATACTAAAAGGGTTAAATATACCAAGAAGATTTAATAATTCAAATTTGTACCCACCTAAATGACATAGCTTAAAAATATAAAGAAAACATTAACAGAACGAAAATTAAAAACAGCTAAATTCACAATCAAAATAGATTTTAATAAATCTCATTCAATAACTGATAAACAGACCAAAAAAAGGTCCTAAGAATATAGATCTGAACCACATTATAGGCAAAACTGATTTAATTATGATACCACTCCAAACAAAAAAAATATACTTTTAAAATTACATATTTAAGGCTATAAAGAAGGTTAAAAAGCAATTATCTAAACATCCATCAAGAAGTTTAAAAAAACAGCATTTAACTACAAAAATAGAAAGAACAAAACAATAATAATGAAATTGAAAACAAATATACAGTGAAGAGAACCAAGTAAATAACACCTTGATTCTTTGGAATGACTTAATTTTTTTTCTTTTTTTTTGAGTCAGGGTCTCACTCTGTCACCCAGGCTGAAGTGCAGTGGCACGATTACAGTTCACTACAACTTCAATCTCCTGGGCTCAGGTGATCCATCTACCGCAGCCTCCAGAGTACCTGGGACTACAGGTGCACACTACCATGCCTGGATAATTTTTTAATTTTTTTGTAGAAACAAGGTCTTACTATGTTGCCTAGGATGGTTTCGAACTACTGGGCTCAAGTAATCCTCCCACTTCAGCCTCCCAAAGTGCAGGGATTACAGGTATGAGTCACCATGCCCTGAATGGAACACCTTAATTTGTCAGGTTCCCTTAAAACTGTGTGTTAATATATTATTATGGCCAAAGGGATGTGAGCAAATGGGTATGTGGAACTGTTGGGTAATGCTCTAAACAGAAGAGGTATCCTTTTTCCCATCACATTTCATTATCGTTACCACTTACTCCCTAAAACCTGTAAAGTAAATGAGTTGCAAATAATCTTTGAACGAGCAGGTTAAGCTATATCCTAGAAATAGTGGAAGAACAAGAGCCTGGTTTTCTCTACATTATACCATGATCTTAAAAAGTAAATGTAATCCTACCATGCTTTAGCCACTTTTGGGGAGAGTACCTCTTATTACAACAGTCTAGTTTATATACCAAGTATTAATAAAATTAGAAAACTAGAAGTTGACACTGCTGCAAAGTAAAAAATATCTGTGATTGGTTTAGCAATTGGATGGATAAGGGATATTTCAAAATATAAAGCCTGTTACCCTGTGGTGTAACAAAATATTTGGTAAAACTGCTACTGGTGATACCTAGGGAAGGCAGATCACGTGCTTAAAAAAAAGTCTAAAAATTTAGCTAGACAGGTTTTGAATATTAAAAACGTTGTTGTGTATTAGCTGCTTCTTTCTGCTGTTTGCAAGGTCCTGTGAGAGAAAGAAAAACATGCCAACACTGAGGCAACACAAGTTCTAAAGAGGAGCCTCAGCAAGAGATAAGACTGTGGCTCCTCTTCTTTCTCTGGAAATTTTTGTTAGTCAGATACGGGAACTAGCCTATGGCAAAAAAAAAAGTTAGATTACAAATGTTGCCTCTCTCTCTCATCCCAAAACCTATTGTTAAAGTGGCCTTCACTAGATTGAGGTGAATGGAGAATGGGCAGAATACAGAAATTACTAAATAAAACACCAGTTTTCTAGCAAAAAAAAACTATGAATAAATAATATCTTCGGTTGTGGTAACTTACAGGAGGAGCTCCTTAGATGCAAAATAAACATTTAAAGGTTTTAAAGACTGCCAAATAAACCAATATCAGGCATGCAAAAGCCTGTTATTATCTCCAAGTAACCAATCCAGGGGAAAGTTCAACTGAAAATAGTACAGTCCCCCCCCCCAAAAAACAATAGCAACCTCAGATGCGTCCACAGAGGATAATGATTAAAAATAATCTCTCAGAAGGAAAAACGGGGCCACTGAGAGAAAATGACAACAATGTCTCTCCAAGAGAGCAAAACGAAAGACTGCAACATGGGCTATCCAAGGAACTTACTCTACTGACAAAGCTTGAAGTTTTCACAATTTCAATCAGCAGGGCATGACAATTGTATGGATCAATGACTACTAAGTGTTTCCCATTCTTTGTTTTTCTAAATGGGTTTTTAAATTGTAATTATCCTATCCTTACACCACCATCTTACAGTGGTTGTATGTGTGGTAGGGTGCATGTCTGTATTTGTATGTTAAAGAGTAGTTACTGTCTATTAATTAATAGATGGCCAGACTAACAGAAGCCATATGCAGACCCAACAAAGAGAACTAAAGATACTGGAGCTTGAGCTGAGATTATGGATCTTGAGGAGAGATGAATATATTTTCTAGGTGAGAAGACAGACAAGTACTAATTATGAATGGATAAAGGAGAAACCTTCGAGTGGACTGTGGGAAGAACCCCTAGTTGTCACCTGATCTGTTCTACTCTTCCACAGTAATAGAAGTTTTATCTGAGCACAAGATAGCTTAGCAAAAAAGACCACATTCTCCAACCTCTTTGTGGATAAATGTGGTCATACAGCTATGTTCAAGCCAACAGGATGTGAAGAGAAGAAATAAATGTAAAACTTTTAAGTCATAATGTGAAAGAGAATGAGTATGCCCTCATTGTCTATTCTTTCTTTTCTTAGTGGTGAGCTACCAGCCTTGCAAACCAGTGTAACAGTCTAATTTATAATTTAACCAATATATTTGTATTTATTTGTAACAAAATTACAGCTAATATTTCTATGTTGATATTATTTAGAATATTTTGCTTCTATTACTGCTTTAGAAGCCCAAACATTTTTGAGTATTTTTAAGATGACTGAGTCAGCTAGTTAACTTGAAAAGATGTCTGTGAAGAAATGAACTAAGTAGAGTTATTAAAAGGAAGAAGGCCAAGAGGCTACTTGAGAGTAAGATACAAATGTGAAGTAATGTCAAAGCAAATGGCTGAAGGTTCAAACAAGTTACGTGCAGCAAGAAAAAACACATTATCCGTGAAAAACAACCAAATAAAAGAAAAAAATTAAAATAATAAGACTAAAACAACATAACAAACAACAGTTTATATGTATAAATTCTTAAAAGCCAAAGAGCAGTTTGGAATTGACATGGTTATTAGAAAGTCAGAGTTAAGATCTTAACTGTAAAGTGTCAAGATGAATCTTAGTGAGAACATTTCCACAAAAGCAAACAATAAGAGCAGCATCTGGAAGACAGAGAATTTCAAAGCTTGCAAACAGTATTCTAAATTAGCTTCTCAAAGCAGGGAAAAAAGGTATTTTATAGAGCAAGGTTGGAAAGCATATAGGTAGTTTTCATTTTCTAAAGTGGTATATACTAAACCCAAAATAATTTACAATAAAACAAATAATTAAATAGTCAACTCACAGTAGTGATTTTGCCTTTTCTCTTGACTGGAAGAAATGGGCAGGCTCTTACTTGGAGATCTTTAATGGCAGCAGTCATTGTACTGTTGTTAAGGTCACCTTTACAGCAAACTTCACATTGCATTGTAAGGACTAAGGCAGGAGCATCATTTTTTGTCATGTCAGCCACAAACACAATTTCAGGATTTTTAATAATAATATTCACTTCCCACCTCTTTGATACCTGTACAGGTACTAAAACAAAAATAAAAATAAATTAATACTTTAAATTATTAAAAATATTTTCTATATATTATTTATAAATAACTTATTAATGAAAAAATGTTATTTCACTGTAAGTAAAAAGTAAAATAAAAGCATCTTATATCTCAAAGGAATCTACAACTCTCTTAGTAAACAGAAGAAGCTACAGGCATAAGAACATTAAAAAACATGGGGGGAAAAAAATCTCCACTATTTAATGGTAAAGTCTAGAAACGAAACCAGTTTCCAACTTTCAACCTTACACTCTTTCTACTGTACCAAAATGAATGGAATACATAAAAATATAAGAGAAAAACTATATGTTAAAAAGCTAAAAGTAAATATAACAAAAATAAATATGAATGCTTTAAACCGAAATATAATCTTTAATTGTGAAAAGGAGTGGTCAGTCCATTATTCTGCTTCTTTTTTTCTGACAAATTCATTCAAATTACTACCTACAGAGAAGCACAATTACTTGTTCTAATGTAGGTCTCAAAATTTTCAAATGCAATATATATTCATTTTTTTAAAAACTGCAAATTTTGCATCTTCCCAGAAAACACATTGTTTTTCCTCCTACCTCTCTACCTCCTACTTCTTAATAAATTAATAAATTTCTCTCCTACCTCCTACATCTTAATAAATTAAGAAATAAAGATCTTAATTTATTAATGCATTTACTTTTATTACCTAAAAGGCCTCAAGATAAATGCTATTGCAGCACTAGAATATAGATATGAAATATTTTAACCAATAACTAACCTTCTTCCTTAGCAGTCCATGTTTGAACACTTGTTTCCACAGCAGTCCCTGTAGTGTATGCCTTAAGAAAGACATTTGCAACTGTCAGCAGAAATTCTACACTTGCACAAATATACATTTCTTGAAAGACTGCATCAGTCACAGAACCGTCTCGAACACTCCTGAACTTTATATCCATCATATCTTTTTTGTCAAACCCAACTGTCAGTCCTATCATTCTGAAAAACACAACAATTTCTATGTGTGAGTAACTTATTAATAATCAAAAGCACTAATAAAACTCAAGACTCTTATCTCCTTCACTGACAACAAAAAGCATTCTAAAGTCATGTCTCGAGAAAATTCACAAAATGTTTCAAATAATACATTTCCAGACTTCTGGAGTACAACTATATCATAAATTAGGAAGTATATGTTTAAGAAAATATCAAAGTTTGAAATCTTTGTCTAAATATTTCATGCATTTTCCATTACAGTTAGCATGGATTAATAATAATTTATATTAGATTTTAATTGGGAATGTACAAACTCAATTGCACTAATTATTTCTACTTATTCATCAATCTACCAACTATTCAGTAAGACTAGTACATAATTGAGCCAGGACATTTTCAATGTTAACTGAGTAGTACTAAGACTTGACTGAATTGAAGCCTTGAAGATCCTAGGATGCACCCAGAAAAAGAACAGGCAACTCTGGGAATAAATTTTGTAAAATCTGTCAACCATTTCTCAAGTAAAACCTCAGAACATCATTACAATACATGCCTAGGAGTTGCTTTCTTGATATGAGGCCTTTTATCATCTAAAATGCAGTTTTTTAATGAGAAGGAAGAAAACGCTGAGTCATCTGTATACATTTTTGAAGTACTTATAATATTCTCCAATTTAAATTCAGCAAGTTTCAGAGAAGGGTCACGAACATTTGTAAAGGAAGCCTACGGAAGAAGAGAGCAATATAAAATTACACAAAAATAAGTCTAAAGCATATTTTATGATGTGAACTACTACAGATTATTCTCTCTGTTTAAATGGAACATCAAAATTCTCTATCTCCAAAGGACTTTTTAATGAAAGGCCAAAAAATAGTTATTACTTTAATTTTAAAATTTATTTTTTTGCATCATTAGCTATATGAAAGAACTCATTTAAAAAAGAAAAACAGTTAAAATTATTAGTTTAAAGTGGGAAGATCAGGCATTTTTTTTTTTTTAGAAGGCTACTACAAAATGCACGTGAAATACTAACAATTGCTATTTTAAAACTATCCACCTGCTGTACCATGTTCACAACTGAAAACATTTTCTTTTCTTCTTCAACTTACTTGTTCAGGACCTGGACTATACAGTACCATGGTGAGATAATCAGTTCTGAAACTCATATTTAGTGTTGTCTTAACTTGTGAGGCACGTGAATGTACTTCTACCACAGCAGATGTCACCACAGTTGCTCCTTGGAAAAATTAAGGTCATTGAACAAAAGAAAATATAATGAAAAGTAGCTCATTAAAACAAACTTGGAATAGATTTCACAGAGTTAATTAAATGAATATAGTAAAATGACACCTAAGAAAATAAAAAAGATTAGAAGACTCAGATGTAGAGCTCAGAAACTTTTGACTTAGGACTCTTTCTATGATAATTTGGGAATATTAACTGAATACTTGGTGCTTCTGTTTCCTCTTCATGTTTCCATTTCCATTTTTGAAAAATGGCAATAGAACTAAAACCACTGAGTTTATTTGAAGAATTAAGTAAAATAGCATACTACAATACCTAATACATAGTCTAGCACTCAAATTTTACTTTAGGCTGGGCACAGTGGCTCATGCCTGTAATCCCAGCACTTTGGGAGGCCTAGGTGGGAGGTTTGCTTGAACTCAGGAGTTTGAGACCAGCCTGGGTAACATAGCAAGAGCTCATCTCCACAAAAAACAAAACAAAACAAAAAAAACCAACTTTTCTTAAATTAGTTGGGTGTGGTGGCACACACCTGTGGTCCCAGCTGAGATGGAAGGACTGCTTGAGCCTAAGAGGTCAAGCTACAGTGAGCTGTGATTGTACCATGCACTCCAGCCTCGGTGAAGGAGCAAGACCCTAACTAAAAAAACCCCAAAAAACTGTAAAAACTAAAACCAAATATTTTTTTATGACATTTTAAAAATTGTTTCACTAATCAGAATAATCCAAAATTTGCTTTCTATATTTAAATTCTGAATCAAAATATTATATGTACATGGTATAATGTTAAATGAGCTTGAAAGAAAACAGCAATTTCCTCAATCTACCCAATTCTAGAGACAAGTATCACCACTCCAGGTAACTTATTTTTAATTGTAGTAAAATTTACATACAGTGAAATATACAGAATGTATCTAAAATATTTGCTGAGATTTGATAAATGTATATATCCATGTAACTGATACATCATTAAGATATTGAACATTCACATCCATCCAGAAGTTCCCTTTGCCCCTTTCTAGCCAATCTCCAACCTCTCTACCATTCTAATTTCAATAACCACAGATTAGTTTTTTGTCGGTTTTAAAATTCCATATAAATGGAGTAATACCAATTGTACTATCCCCTGTGTGGCTTCTTTCAGTCAACATAATGTCTCTGAGATTCAACCATATTGTTGCATGCACCAGTAGTGTACTCTTTCTTCCAGTTAAGTAGTCATGCACTCTATGAAAATTCAAGTTTTTTCCTCCTACTACATTTAGGTTGTTTCCAGCTTCTGGTTGCTATGAATAAATCTGTTATACATATTCTTACATAAGTCATTCTGTGTATGTTTGCACTTCTTTTGGGGTAGGATGAAGGTAAATACCTAGGCCTGGAATTGCTGTGTCACAGGGTAGGTAGGTGTTTGTTTATGTTAACTACCAAACTCTCTGCCAAAGTGATCATACTACTTCATAATCCTACCAGCAATATGTATGAGTTTCAACTGGTCCACATTCTCATCAACCTTTGGTGTTGTCAGTCTTCTAAAATTTAACTAGTCTGATGAAGTATGAAGTTTTTCTGACTAATTATATTAGCAACTTTTCATGTGCATATGGTCTATTTACATAGCATCCTCTCTCAATATAAATATTTTTAGTCATTATTTTGTTTTTAGAAAGTTTCTACTGATTTACTAGAGTTCTAATATATTCTGGATATAAGACCATTGCAAAATAAATTTATCACAAGAATGTCTCAAGTCTAAGTCTTGGCTTTTTACTATCTTGCTACTATCTTTGATGAGCAGAAACCAAAATTTTGATAAAGTCTATATAGTTTTTCTTTTATGATTAGTGCTTCCGTGTCTACCTAAGAAATCTTTGGCCATCTCCTTGTCAATGCAGATATTTTTTCATGTTTTCTTCTAGAAGCATCAAAGTTTTAGCTTTTAAATTTACACCTTTCATCTAAAACTAATTCTTGTGTATAGTGTTAAAGGGACATGGTTCAATTTTTCTCACATTTATCCAGTTGTGACAACACCACTTGTTAAAAAGTCTAGCCTTTCCCTATTGCACACATTTTGTTGAAAATCATTCGACTATATTTGTGTATCTACTAGACTCTCTTCCACCAATCTATTTGTCTATCCTATGTTAATAGCATATAATTCAATTATTGTAGACTTATAGAAATTTTTAAAATTAGATAGCATAATTTGTTCTTCTTTCACAACTTTTTTTTTCTTGGCTATTCTTGGTCCTTAGTGTCTGCACATAAATTTTAAAAGTAATCTTTCAATTTCTATTACAATAAAATCTGGTTGGAACTATACTGAATCTATAGATCAATGCAAGGAAAATTGACATCTTAACTATATTGAGATGTTTCAATCCATAAATATGGCATGTATACCACTCCATATATTTAAGTCATTTAATTTCTCTAATCGCTGTATGGTACTTTTCAGTGTAGAGGCCTTGTATGATTTTTGCTAAACTTCTTCCTAAGCATATTTGTTTTTTGATGCTATTGCAAATATATTTTTAAAATTTTATTTTACAATTATTGACAAAACATGTTTACATATTAGTCTTTTATCTTGTTAAAAATATTAAATTCATTAATTAATTCTAGGAATTTGGTGAAGACTTCTTAGTGTTTTCTACATAACCAATCATGCTGTCTGAGAAAAATGGCTTTTTTACTTATGTCTGCTCTCTAGTCTTATTCTTTTCTTGACTTTGTTCTGTCATTAACTGCTAGCAAAATGTTAAGCAGAAATGGTGACTGTGAACATTCTTGTCTTGTTTCTATTTTAGGAGGAAAACTTTCAACATTTTACCATTAAGAATGCCTTTTAGGTAGTTCTAGCTTTATCATGAGTAGGTGCTGAATCCTGTCAAAGTCTTTTTCTACATCTACTGAAGTGATCATGTGATTTTTCCCTTTGGTTAATCTGAATTATATGAATAAAGTTTTTTGGTGTTAAACCAACTTTGTATTTTAGGATCATTCTCACTTAATCAAGATGAAATATTCTAAGCCGGGCTTGGTGGCTCAGCCTGTAATCCTGTGCCTTTGGGAGGCTGAGGTGAGTGGATTGCCTGAGCCCGTGGGTTCGAGACCCACCTGGGCAGCGAGACCTCATCTCTACAATAAATCAAAAAATCAGCCGGGCGTGGTAGCGCATGCCTGTAATTCCGGCTACTTGGAAGGCTGAGGAGGAAGGATCGCCAGAGCCCAGCAGGTCGAGGCTGCGGTGGCCGGGAGCGGCCACTGCACTCCAGTCTGGGAGACAGAGTGAGACTCCAACTCAAAAAAAAAAAAAAAAAAGATGAAATATTCTTATATCTTCTCTTTATTGCTGAATTCAATATGCTAACATGTTAAGAATTTTTGTGTATGTGTTTATGAAGGATACTGGTGTGACATTCTTTTCTTGAAGTGACTTCTTTTCTTTCATGTCAGGGTAATGCTTGCTTTATAAAATGACTTTAAAGAGTGTTATCTCTCCTCCTTCCTCTATTTTCCAAGAGTTTCTGTAATACTAGTATTATTTTCTATTTAAACATTCAACAGAATTTGACAATAAAATTTAATTCCTCTCACAGATACAAAGCTAGTTAGGTTTTCTATTTCTTCTTATGTCAATTTGGCAACTTGCTCTTTCAAGAAATTTTTATAATCCACTCATGTTGTAAAATTTATTGTCCCCAAATTATTCATAATATCCAGTGGTAGTAATTTGCAGTAATCTATTTAATTCTGCTCTTGGAAAATTGTGTTCTCTTTATCATCAGTCTTGCAAGGGGTTTATTGGTTTTTTTTAGTCTTTCCAATAAAAATAATTTCTGACTTTGCTAGTTTTCTCTATTATTCATCTGTTTCTCTTATGTTGGTTTTAATTCTTGTTTGTATTACTGTCTCCATTTTATTTATTTTGGATTTGCTTCTCTTCTAGTTTCTTGAGGTAGACGATTTGATCTCTAATTCTAAAATTTTTATTTCTAATCTATAATATTTTACAACTACAAATTTCTTTCACCACTGCTTTAGCTGCACCTCTTTCCTGGACTCCTTATTTTTCTTGCTCGAATATATTTTCAAACTAATTTCTTTATGAATGGGTATGAGGAAGTCCGAGTAAACTTAGTCACAGAAAATCCATGAATATTTTGTTTTCAACATTTAGGGTGATGGTTTGGCTGTGCATAGCATCCTAGTTTCAAAACCACTTTAATTGGAATTTTGAATATATTCCCCTCCATTGTCTTTTGTCATCTAGCCATCCTGTCCCCTCCAGTTTTACTGATGATAAACAACAACAACAAAATCAATCATCCAATAATTTCCCCCCCCAAATCCCTGACAGGCATCCTGTGTTCTTTTCTCAACCTTTAAAAATCTAACCTCAGCCAATTCCGACACTTCATGAAAATGTGTTTGCATGGAAAGTCTTAGTTTACTCAATCTACTTGAAACTGAGTAAAAAGATTCTTTTTATCTAAGAGTTTGCTTCAAAATTTACTAAGGTCTAGAAGATTACTGTAGTCCCCTTTACCTGCAGTTTCAGTTACCTATGGTCAACTAAGATATTTTGAGAAAATGACTATATTTAACCTTTATTACATATATTATCTAAGTTGTTCTATTTTATTACTAGTTGTTGTTTATCTTACTCTGCCTAATTTTAAATTAAACTTTATCATACATATGTATGTATAGGAAAAAACAATATAACCTTAACCTTAAATTCCATGGGGAATCTTAGAACCTATCCCCTGTACTTCTTTGAAGAATCTTTTTCTCCCATTTTCTTAGCTATTTCTCCTACAATTCTTATTATTCTGAAATTGAACCTTCTAACCTGAAGCACCACTCTTAAGTTTTATTATATTTTCTATTCTTGCACTTTTTTTTCTCTGTCATGAAAGACTACCTCAACCCAACATTCCATCTCTGTATTTCTAACTCCATGCTTAACATTTTTATTTCAAAATTTCAGCAACATCATTTTTGGTTTCTAAGAACTCTCTTATCTTAGGGGGCTGGTGATGTTGGCAGGATTTCGTTCTTACATTATTGTCTCAAAATCCTCTTAGAATACTAGAGCATGTTTTTTGTGTTATTTTCTTTTCTACTCCCATAATTATCTGTGTTTCCCTCACAGAACTCTATTCTGTTTATCTTAGTTTTGGTCATCTGTGGGTTCTTATTATTTTCTTCATATCTGACCATTCATATTTAGTACTAAAAGACTGGTTTGATTATTCTAGCTAGTAAGGATAGGGTTTCCTATAATGCTGTAAATGTAGAGTCATTTTTGTGTTAGGTTTCTCCCTGAGTAAAAATGCCGTGTAGTATTGCAGAGCTTTGAAAAGGTGAGTCCTGTGGACTAGTAGGTTTCACTTTGAGCTGGTAGATTTGGAAATCCCCTACATGCCAGAATGAGAAGAACTTTATTCTTGTGCAGTAAAATCCTCCTAGTAACCTCAACTGACCTAACTCTCTTTATGTGCTGGTACTGAACTCAGAGCTCACCATATTCCACGTAGCACACTGGTTCCAACACTGGATGAAGCCTCTTTCTGAATTATGGTTTCTTCAACTATGTTCCATCCATCTACCTTCCAAATATTTGTTAAAATACATCATCTATTAATGATCATTCTCACTTTGTGCCTTTAATATTTTGATATTCAGAATATCAATATAAAAGATTCCATCTGGAATAAATGCTACACTAGGGATAGGAAGGAAGGAAAGAAGGGAGGAAGGGAAATCAAGGAGGAGGGAGAGAAAGAAAAGAAGAGGGGAAAGAAAGGGAAGGAGAAGACAGAAAAGAGAAAAAGAGGAGGACAGGAAGAAATTTAAGGTTAAAAATATACCTCCTGAATGGTGTGAAACATTAGTAACTCCACTAGTAACACTACTTTGGTCTTTTGTTACAGCAGATGAGGCATCACCATCTTGTACTTCCTGTATGTTGCCATGCAATGTTTTAAAAATAGTTGTTATATCTTCTTGACTAAGAATGAACTGTAAAAAAAAAAAAAAGATTTGTTATTTTCAATACTGCTTTTTTTATGCAGTTACAATTCTAATACAAGAAAGAGAAAACTGTCTTATTTCAGTCTTCCACAACATCAATTTTTTAACGTACTAAACATTTTTACTAACTGAATATTCAGTTTGGTAAATGGCCATGTAATCATTAGCAGCTTGTGGAATATAGAACTAGAAATTAGATGCCAATACCAATGAAGTTATGAATAAAGAACTATTTGTTATGAATGTACCAAATAATCTAGTAATTTTAAACTTTCAAAATGAACTTTAAGTAGTCATTTAGCTACTTAGGAATTTTTGATTACTTAAGCATCCCATTTTATAAATATAGATTAATAAAAAATATATTACATTAATGATAATAAAAAATAGTCACAATGTGTTTTACATAAATTATTTTATTTGAACCTCACAAAAGTCCCAGGTGTGAATATAATCACGATTTATTTATTTATTTATTTATTCACCCACTCATTCATTCACCCAGGCTAGAATACAGTGGTATAATCCTAGCTCATGGCAGCCTCCAACTCCCAGGTTTAAGTGATCCTCCCACCTCAGCCTCCCAAGAAGCTGGGACTACAGGCACATGCCACCATACCCAGCTAATGCAATACTGCTTTTGTAAGAAGCTGAGGCTAAATAGTTAAGTAATATACTTAGGTCTACAAATACTCAAAGAACTAACTAAAATTGTAATTTTAAGTCCCAGTTGTCATGAATTTAGCCTAAAATCAACAGTATAAGACCTGTGTTGATAGCTGTGTTGGTTTTTTTATGTCACCTCGGCTTAATCACAGTATCTAGATATTTGGTCAAACATTCTAGACATTTCTGGGAAGGTACTTTTTAGATGAGATTAACATTTACATCAGCAGACTCTGAGTATGTCAGATTACCCTCCGTAATGAGGGTGGACCATATCCAAACAGCCAAAGGCACTCAATAGAACAAAAGAATGACCTCCGAGCAAGAATTCTGCCAGCAGGCTGCCTTCAAACTCAAATTTCAACACTAACTTTTCCTATTTAACCTGCTAGATTACCATGTAGATTATAAATTTGCTAGCATCCACAATTCTGTATACCAATTCCCTAAAATAAATCTCTTTCTCCCTTTCTCTATCTAGACTCTCTCTCTCTCTGTCCTGTTAGTTCTGTTTCTTTGTTCTTTGGAGAACCCTCACTAACACAACAGCAATAATGAAAAAAGATATTTGAGTTTGGCTCACTTCTAAATTTGTCAAAAGTTTTTTTAAAAGTCATGCTTCTAGTTGCTATAAGCTCACAGGGATAATTTTAATCAATCAAAATTTAATAGTCTTATGTGTACCAGGATTCCTTTGACTACATTTCAAAGATGACATACTAATCTATAGTGTTTTAAAATTAATTCTATGTGTACCTTATCCATGCTACTTGTGTTTTAGGCTTTTTAAAAAAATTTCATTCCTTTATTATTTTATTCATAGCACTGATTTTGTAATTATGCTGTAGGCACTGCAAAAATAGTATATTCACATAAATTAATAAACTAAAATTTACTATTATATCTTCCAAACCATATCTTTCAATTGCTATCTATCAAAGGCCCCCAAATACTGATATTAATCATCACTCTTTCTTCATTTTTGACAGGAGTTCAGCAGGGGAAATTAAAAAGACTGTAAGGTCCCCCAGGGTTGCTAATCTATGGCACTGGTGCCTATATGTCAGACAGGATGTGTGTACAACAAACAAAAATCTGACAAATCAGAAATCAAGCTGCAGCACTTGGTCTGGATACATTATACTAACTGACTTCGCCAAGACCAATTTTAGCTGCTCCCTGACGCAGAGGATGAGGTCCAGAAGGGACCAAATATGTGGGCTCTGGGGTGAGTTACAACAGTTGCTAAACTACTCAGGTGGATTAGAGTAAGGGAAGACCCAACTTATTCATGGTGGGTCTGCCTCAGAAGGCAGCCAGGCATTTGTGGCATCACCTGAACATTCTGTATGGATTCTCCCTGGGAAAGAGCAAGGGCGAGCACAGTGTCTCTGCTGCCCCATGCAAATCTTATAATTGGGCCTAATGGGGTAGGGACTTTCACAGCATGCTGTGTGGAACATGCTACTTATGTTTTATAAGTGTCTGCCTGTCGTCTTACCAATTTAAAGAGACTTTAAACATCTTAAGGAGATACTTTCTATCTCTAGTCCTAAACTAAGATTTTCAGTTGACACCATCATGTTTTAAGCCCTGAATATGCTTTTGACTTAAAAGTTTGAAAATCTCTAAAATGATCATTTTCTCTTTTTGAACAAAATTTGTATAGTGAGAAATAGGGAAACTGGGGGGAGGAGGTTGTTAAGTAGATTTCTTAAAGAAATCTTCCACAGAGCACATATGTTGCTATCACTTCAGCAAACCATGTGACACAGTTTTGACTTTCAGCAAACCATGTGACACAGTTTTTCAAGAGAGAAAAATTAAACTTTTGGATAGTTCCTTTAGAGATCTGTGAAATAATGTCAGCCTATAAGACTGTAAAGCTATTCCTATGATGCTAACCCATTTGTAGTTTTCATCTTCAACACACCAATTCTTCTAAAACTTCCTCTTCTTTTCATACTCTTTTTCTAGGTTGTTGGGGGCCAGGCATGGAGGCCTGCCTGCTGACAAAGTCAAGGGGGCTGAAGACCCCGGGTTGCAAAGTGAACCTGGGCAGCTGAAACCCTTACTTCTTCTACTTTTGTTACTAATGCAGCCGGGAAGTTCTGTACAGTCTGAAGATGGAAAGCAAAATTCCACTCATGCCTCCACTACCTCTTGCAAAAAGGCATGAGAAAATTACCTTCCCTTCATTTTGAACTCCTCCCTAGGTTTCCACATCCCCGGCCACCTGATATTAGACCACGCAATCACTTGATTAAACATTGTAGTCGGGAAAATTGTGAAAGATCAGAAGGTGCTCAATTTAATGTTTGTCAGGGAACTCACTGGCCTTGCCAGGGAATTATCGATAGAGATTTTAAATATCATGTATGGGTAGATAATCACTTGTAAGATTTTATTTCTTCTGACTGGCGACTAATTGGAGAAATTTGAGAAGCTACAGTTCGTATTTTTAGGAAGAGTGCCAATGCAAAAATTACATTTATTTAATTTCTACACGTGGTATGTTATGCTTAAGAAATTAACAATCACAAAAATATTAGAGGACTTCATGTTATTCAGACTAAGTTTTTCACATAGAGTTAAGGGCATAAAGTTAAGATTATAGAATTTTAAACATAAAAAAATACAAAGCAGGCTTCATGATATGAGTGTGTTATGTTAATCATTAGCAATAAGTTAATAGGCTTTAAGGATAGAAAATAATTATGAAAAGGCCTAGACACATGTTCTTTGTTAAAAATAAATAACCATTGTAGGATAGCCTTGAAATATGGGTCTTTTAAAGAATCTAAGAAGTTGGAATATACAAAGTGGTCAAGAAAATAGATAGCAGCTGGGAATTAAGGAAATAAGATTAATAAAGTAGGAGTTATGCTTAAGGACAAAACGGAATGCTCTAAAGACCACAAGACAGTGATATCTTTTTAAAGAGTATCTGTACATGAGGGAATTCACGTCAGAGTGGCTTTATAAAAAACATCACGTATGAGTTGCTTGCTCTTTTTTTTGTCTTAAGCAAGGTTAGTGATTGTGTCTGATGCCAAGAACTTTTCAAAGACTACTTCTTTGTAAAAAAAAAAGATATATATAAGCTGTATGCTAACTAACAATAAACAGCAACTGTCCTGCTAACACCAGAGTCAGAAGTCCAAGTTCTCTCTTTCGCCGACTCCGTTCCTCCTTCAGGAAACCCTGACCTGCTGGAGCTGGCCTCTGGCACTAGGTTATTTCATATATTCCCATGGCTTTAAATACTATCTATATGCTGATGACTCCCAAATTGATATTTCTAGCCTAGGTCTCTCCTATAAATTCTATATTAATACATATTAATATATTAATTGACTATAGCAGCATGCCTAGTCTTTGTTTCCTTCATTAATTTTACCACAATTTACAACTATTCTAATTCTGTGTCTGTTTACTTTTTTCACTATCTAACTGTCACTACATCTTCAAGTCCAACACTGCCTCCACTACTTGCAGACTGGCAAGTTCCATAAATCGGAGACAATGTTACCACTTCCTTGCTACTTTATCGCCATACCCATTACAGGGCTTAGCCCATAGTCAACACTCAAATATTTGTTAAAAGAATTGATGGAGATAATTAATGAAGTCCAGCTTAATACAGTCACTATTTCTGACCAAGGTGACTATACATACACAAATTCCACTCAAAAAATGTCTTACAACCCCCCCTAAGAAATATTTTTCAACAAACAAAACAGAAATCAATAAACATCTAAAAAGTTACCTCCATAGGTTTTAGCTGAGCATTTACATTAAAACAAGGAACTTCTTGGTACCACTCCCAGGATAAGTTTCGCTCAATTACCACTTCAAGATTTAATGGTAGTAGCAGATCCAGTATTTCCTGGTATGTACCATTTATAAATTGAGATCTACAAGTAGAAAAACAATTGTTCTGAACTGCTTCATAAACATTCAGGAAGTTAAAAAAAAGATTAACTTAAACTTACTTTATATACAAATAGCAGAAATCAATAATTTGTTGTATATGAGGAAAAAATAGAAACTATCAGGCTTTTACCTATCAAAATGAGAGATATTCCATACCACTAGAAACTTAGGTGACTTTCTCTGAGCTGAAGTGCTCTATATGATAGAGAAATAAATTTCTTAAGTAGGATTCTGCAATATGGAATATGGTAAAAAGTACCAAAAATATGTAAGTTGTATAGTACACTCTTAAAATAAGAATTCTCTCTATAAAATTTATAAACAAACATAAGACCTCACTATGAAAAACATTTCAATTCACTGATTTATATATATAACAGAATACCACACTGTCCTTTACTTTATAAGAAACTAGTAGCACCATATGAAATTTCTATTTCTGTGAACCAAAACAACTGAATATATACAATTACATTTTAAGTTGAACTATATTTGCCTTTCCAAGCAAATGTAGAAATGGTACTCATATCACTGAACCATAACTGCCTTTCCTTATAAATGTAGAAATGATGCTCAGGAATGAAGAGTAGTGGGTCACTGAACCCCTTCAACTGGCAGTGTGACCACAGAAGCTTCCTGTTGTACCTGCAAGTGACAATCTCAAAGCATTATTCCTCAGTAATGTACTTATGTTTTAAATGGCAGCAAATCCTTAAACTAGAGTATGAAGTTATGCCTGTAGAATTTTAGCTACTATTTACTCATTGATAGAGAATATGGGAGTTCATGAGGCATCTCCTAAAATGCCTGTACCAAGCCATTTTATGAATGAACAACAGAGTGGCAGTAGACTTTATGCATGCAGTCTCCACCTAACATTAATAGGTTGAGGAATGTAAAAATCTTATAAGAAATACTGCACATATAATTTTTTTTATTTTATTTTTTGCCTGTCCTCTGTAGGCCTGGATGCATATTTAATTTTAATGGCTATGTATTAGAATACATGGTTATATCTTAAGTAATTTAATCAACCTCCTATTACTAAAATTTTATGTTGTTTCCAGTTCTTCACCATAGTAAATACTAGAATCATTATCTTTGTATGTATCTTTGAGTAAACTTATTTTCTTTGGACAAACTTCCAGAAAGAAAATTACTGTGTCAGCCAGGCTCGGTGGCTCAGCCTGTAATCCCGCGCCTTTGGGAGGCTGAGGTGAGTGGATTGCCTGAGCCCGTGGGTTCGAGACCCGCCTGGGCAGCGAGACCTCATCTCTACAATAAATCAAAAAAAATCAGCCGGGCGTGGTAGTGCATGCCTGTAATTCCGGCTACTCGGAAGGCTGAGGCGGAAGGATCGCTGGAGCCCAGCAGGCCGAGGCTGCGGTGGCCGGGAGCGGCCACTGCACTCCAGTCTGGGCGACAGAGTGAGACTCCAACTCAAAAAAAAAAAAAAAAAAAAAAAAAAAGAAAATTACTGTGTCAAAAGATTACTTCCCTTGGAAAAAATCTGTATTATCAATACTACCCAATATCTGGGTTAAATACCTTCTTAGGTGCTCCCACAAGTACCCTGAATTTTTTCCATCACTGCGTTTAATATATTGCATTTTAATGCCTTATTATGTTCTCTATGAGGGCAGGAACTATGCTTATCTTATTCTTTGCTATATTGTCAGTACTTAAATTACATGACTGGCAGATGTCATAAAGTCCATAAATATTTGCTAAATTACAGTCAATAAATAATATAAAACAATACAGGTAGTCACAAATATAAATACTTACTTGTCTTCCCTCATGTATTTTCTAAGACGTTGTAATTAAACCAAATTTTCAAGTATTCATTATTTTAAAATTATTTCAGAAAAAGGTGGTTATATTCTATTTCTGGGAATTCATCTTAAGGAAATGAATTATTCCAAAGAAATGAGTAAATAATTATAAAAGTACTGATTAACAAAGATACTAATTATCAGTATAATATTATTTAGAACAGAAAAAACTAAAATTAACTTAAATTTCTAACAAAAGGCAAATAGATTTTTTTAAACTAAGGAAAAAAATATTTACAAAAACTTATGCACTCAAAATAATAACATGAAAAAATAACTATAGCATATTTTTAGAAAAAAGCTATTTACAACACAAAACATACAATATAATTTGTTAAACATATATGATGGATGATATGAACTGAAACAAATACACCAATATACTTAATAATAATTATTTTGGGGGAGTCAAAATTTTTTGTCAGCAATGTTTTTATGTTCATTCTCAACAGAAACTAATCCTTTCTTAGACGTAAAAACAATAACTATACCAGGCACAGTGGCTCACACCTGTAATTCCAGCACTGGGAGACAGAGGTGAGAGGACTGCCTGAGCCCAGGGGTTCGAGACCAGCCTAAGCAACACAGTGAGATCTTGTCTCTACACAAAATTAGCTGGGCATGTTGGTAACATCTCATCTCTACAATAAATAAAAAATTTAGCTGGGTATGCTGGTGCGTGACTAACCCCAATTACTCAGGATGCTAAGGAAGAAGAATTGCCCGAGACCAGGAGCTGAGGTTGGGTAAGCCATGATCATACCAATGCACTCCAGCATGGGTGATGGAGACTCTGACTCAAAACAAACAAACAAACAAAACAAAACTGAGAATACAAGGGAGGCTAAGACAGCTAGAGTTCATACAAGAAAATGCCAGAGAGAAGAGAGCTACATTGATTACACAGAGTAACTAAAAATTTATAGCACTATATAAAGTATTCTAATTTATAGCACTATAGCATATATTAGAAAAGAACTGTTTCACATCAATAATTTCAGCTCAACCTAAAGAAACTTAGAAAAACAGCAAAATTAAATCTAAAATAAGCACAAGGAAATAATAAATATTGAATCAGAAGTCAACGAAAGAGAGAGCAGAGAAACAATAAAATAAAAAACCGCTCCTTAAGATCAATAAAACCTGATACACAACTAACCAGACTGATCAATGCAAAGGCAGAAGTAATCACTATCAGGAATGGGAGAAGTGAGAATATTATGAAAACCTTTATACCATTAATTTTTATAACTTAGATAAAGTGGACAAATTCTTTAAAAAAAAAAAGCAAAAAAAAGTCACCTGGAAAAAATAACTTGAATAGCCCTAAAGTTTTTTTTTGTTGTTGTTGTTGTTTTTAATTGGAGTCTCACTGTCACTCAGGCTGGAGTGCAGTGGTATGCTCACGGCTACCATAGCCTCAACCTGCTGGTCTCAGGTGATTCTTTTTGCCTTAGCCTCCTGAGTAGCTGGGACTACAGGCAAGCACCACCATGCCCAGCTAATTTTTTGACTTACTGTAGAGACATGGTCTGCCAAGTAGCCCAGACTGGTCTCAAATCCCTGGGCTCAGGCAATCATCTCGCCTCTGCCTCCCAAAGGGCTGGGATTGCAGGCATGAGCCACCATGCCCAGCCTTCTGTGTTTATTAAGAATATGAAAATTGTAGTTTAAAAACCTCCCATAAGCAAATTCTAGGCCCAGATCACTGTTGAATTCTACCTAATACTTAAGGAAGAAATAAAACAATTGCACATAAACTGTTACAAATGTATGCATGTCAAAACTTATCAAATGGTATAATATTAAAGATATGAAATTCATTGTATGTCAGTTCTTTCTCAATAAAGATGCCTAAAATATATTCAACTGATGGAAGGAAAAACAGCAGGGAGAGACAGACCAGCCAGGGACTAAAGAGAAGTAGAGACTGGGAGTTAAGTTAAAAGAGTGAAGCAAGAATAAGGTGAAGAGATAAGTATTAGAATGAGACTTTTTTAAATGACAGGAAGAAAGAAGAGACCAGGTGAAAGGTATAAATAGATTGACCCAAGTTGGAAAAGAAATAGGGCACTGAATCCAGAAAAGGTAATTAGAAATAGCACAGAAACAAAGAAGATACAGTTTTATACATAGCTTTAAAGCTATGTGAATATCCATTCAGTCCCCTACTTACTAATTCCTCTGTTCAATGAATACATAAAGTTTTATGCCACTGTTTGTATTAATTAGAACATGAGATCCACAGCACAAAGCTAAAATAGTAGTTTGAGGGATACTGTGCTTATAAAGTGAATAAATTGTATTATGTTAGAAAGTCTCCCATTTCTTCTATAGTTTTATAATTTATAAAGAGCTTTAAAAAAATACAAGTAAACTTCCTCACACAAAAAATTTTACAGTCTTCCTAACTACCTAAGGAGAATTTTTCAAATTTTTTTGGTTTTTAAAAATTTAAAGACTATAATTGATTTTTTCAAAAAATATTTAAGACAGAATCACAAGATTACATACAGTTACACTAAAATAAAATCTCACTGCACACAGAATACTCAAGATGCCAAAGCCTTAAGAGTAAAAACTTAGAAAAAGACTGCATTCTACACAAATATACTTGTGAAAACCTTACCTATATAGTCGCATTTCACTCAGCTTTACAGTTATCAAATCAATAACAGGTGGGGGGTTGCTCTGGCTCTCTGCTATCATATGGAATATATTCGTCATTGTAATTAGTCCAAAATCAGCAACAAAAACATTTTCAGAAACTGGAGACTGTGGGATGACCACAACTGGGGCTTTGATATTAACATCCAATGCCATCCTGGAACTTCTTTGTGCCAGTTCTTTTACACCAGTAGCAGCCATTCCTGCTGCCTGAACAGTTGCCTCAGCCAAGGCTTGTTTAGCGGCTTGAAAATTATCTATAAAAGCCTATAAAGATAACAGAATTATATTCATAAGGCTACCAATAATAAATCAGACATTAAATATATACAAATATTTAAGATTTTACCTCCATAAAAAACTTTCACTTGGTACAACCAAGTATTATTTATTCAAAGTCTTATTATCTATATTAAATCTTGATTCCTTGCTACAAAAACTTAGAAACATAAAGATACAAATAAAAAAAAATCTACTCACCAAAACAAAGCAAAATAAGGAACTTGGAATGGTTCACAGATGCCTTATTCCCTTATTATCTCACTTTCTATAATGGCTAAATAATCATATACACTACAAAACCTCATTTGACAGGTAGCTTATTTATGTTTGCAAAGAAAATAAGTAAATAAATATGTTTTTTCAAGAAGTATCAAATAAGTTTTCTAATTTCTGAATTCCAGAAAAATACTTCAATGGCATAAAATATAACTACCTACACTTATACTTAATATTCACATTAAAGGAGAAAAACCATTTTGTAATTTCTACATTTAAGACTATCACAAGAAGGCTCAGTGATATAATGTTTCTTAGTTTTAAAAAGAAATGAGTTGCTTGAAAGGTTGATGTGGTAGAACAGACTGAGGCCAGGAGTTCAAGATCAGCCTGGTAACATAGTGAGACCCTGTCTCCAAAAAAAAAAAAAAAAAAATTAGTTGGGTGTGGTGGCACATACATGTAGTCCCAATAGCTTCAGAGATTGAGGCAGGAGGATCATTTGAGCCTAAGAGTTTTAGGCTACAATAAGCTATGATCATGCCACTGTATCCCACCCTGGGAGACAGAGCAAGTGCTCATCTCTGAAAACAATAGAAAGAAAATATAATTTCCTTAATGATGACCTGAGACCAAAACAAACTTCAATTATATACACAATGTTTTAAAATTATAACTGAGAGTCAGGTAAAAGAAATATTTAAGCTAATGATATATAAAATAAAGATCTCAATAACATACGTATGATTTATAATGTACATATATTTAATGTCACTATATAATATGTATACCTCAATTAAATGGAATATTACTATGAAAATTATGTTATATAAACAAGGTACTAGTGATTTCAGTCATGATAAATGGTGTCCAGAAAATTATGTTAAAAATCAGAAAAAAAAAAATCAAGCAAGGAATTCTTGTTATTCTTCATCTGGGTCTGACACACAGCAAACAATTTCCAACTAGTATAAAAGAATAAATAAAAAATAATGTAATAAAATACTTACCAATATAGAATACAGAAATTTTGTGACAAACACTACTTCAATGCAGCCAACTGTTAAATTAATCTGAATGTCAACCACATTCATATCTGTGTATGCAGAGCCAGCAGTTGCATTCACATAAGAAACCATTTTGAAGCTGAAAACTTCTTTTCCAGTGATATAGACAGCCTTAATGAGAGCAAATTCAATTAATCACAATCTATATTTTAAGTGATGTGCCTCTAGCACAAAAGCAAAACAAAGCAAAAAATAACAAAGCACATGCACATATTTAGAAAATCTTCAGGTATTCAAGCCAAGTACAAATGAGGTGACAATTCTGATTGCTTTATTGGAGCCTACATTGCCAAGCTTTACAAATTGGAGGTGGCAGCACCCCTTGTAGGTCAATCAATTTAGCAGATCTGGCCCAACTTTTATTTTTTTAATGGTAGAGACAAGAAGAGACAAATATCAGAACATGAATTTTCATATGGTATGTATATTTTTGAACTGAGAGTTGCCATATAGATGTATTTCTTGGATCACTGTCAAAAGGTTGAAAAACACTGTACATATCCACCTTACTGAAATCTGCTTCTCTTGATTTAAGGTATATAAATAAATTTTCTAGATTCTTCAAAGGAGTTTCCTTCTATCTCTATACTTCTGTTCCTCATTAGTTTGTAAACAGCCATTTTATTTGCCAACCAGGAATTACTTACATTGGTTTAAAATCTCAAGCTTGCAATACTACATAAAAATGATGGTAACAACACAAGATATATAATGTTAAAAAAAGGCAAATGGACAGAGCACTAACTTAACTTATGGTAGTCTCAATTCTCCTAAATGCTAGAAGCAAGCAAGGGCAGGGGGCTGAAGAGGCATCAATAAGCAAATCAATTCCAACCACAGAACAAAAGAATCCTCAGGAACCAGAGGCACAAGATGGGGCTGAAAAATAGTCTACAGTTCTGTTTCTGCCCTGGATGCACAAAGCTGTAGTAAGCGATATTTGCCAATTCTATGTCTGGCAAAGGCCTAACATCTAGGATCTACAAGGAACTCAAATGTGCTGAAAAGTAAAAATCAAACAGCCCCATTACAAAGTAGGCAAAAGATATGAATAGACAGTTCTCAAAAGAAGACATACGAGCAGTCAACAGATACGTGAAAAAATGCTCAGCTTTTAGCCAGGTGTGGTCGCACGCACCTGTAGTTCCAGCTACTTGGAAGGCTGAGGCGGAGGTATTGCCGGAGCCCTAGCAGGTCGAGGCTGCGGTGGCCGGGAGCGGCCACTGCACTCCAGTCTGGGCAACAGAGTAAGACTCCAACTCAAAAAAAAAAAAAAATGCTCAACTTCACTAGACATCAAAGAAATGCAAATTAAAACTACACTGAGATACCACCTAACTCCAATCAGGATGGCCATCATCAGTAATTCAGAAAATAACAGATGCTAGAGAGAATATGGAGAAAAGAGAACACTTCTACACTGTTAGTGGGAGTGTAAAGTTGTACAGCCTCTGTGGAAAACAGTGTGGCGATTCCTAAAAGTTCTAAAAATCGACCTTCCATATGACCACACAACTGGGAATACACCCAGAAGAACTCAAACCACTCTATAAAAAAAGATACCTGCACAAGTATGTTTACGCAGCATTGCTCACAATAGCAAGAACATGGAACCAACGTGCTGCCCATCAAAAGAGGACTGGATAAAAAAAAATGCGCTACATATACACAATGGACTATTACACAGTCATAAAGAACAAAATCATGAACTTTGCAGCAATCCGAATGGACTTAGAGTCTGTAATACTGAGTGATCTTTCACAGATTCAAAGAACTGAGTATCACATGTTCTCACTCATAAACGAACCTTGAACAGCTATTGTAATACTATAAGAAAAGGATTGGCAGTAGCGAGAGACTGCAGGAGGGTGGTGGGGCAGGAAGATGTGATTGGCAGTAGTGGGAATCTGCCTGGGGAAGAGGGGACACACCTCATCAACAAGGGTACCTGCATAATGAATATTTGTATACCTAACCCTGAATAGTACCCCACATCTTTAAAACAAAAAATTTAAAAGTTAAAAAAAAAGATCAGCATGGAGTTAAATCTCAGTAACACAGCCCCCACCCCAACCTGAGCACAAGATACAACTAAAGGTATTTAAAGCAGTAATGTAGTAGAGAAAAGCCAAGCTCAGCTCCCCATTAGATTGACTCAATGCCCCAAGTTAAAAGTTAAGCAGAAAAAAGAAGCACACCCATTTCCAGACATAAATACTATTTACCTCAGTCTCCACAGAAAGTCCTCTACATATGAAACTTCAAGTTGCAAACTTTCAAAGATGTGAATGTGTGTTCGCATGTCCAGTCATGTAAGTTAGTTCATGTGTTTGGCATACATTGTCACAAGCATGCATCCTCCACAGACGGTTGTGCTTCTGTGTACCTTACTGTATAGTACTATACAGAGTACAGTATTTTTCTTTCAAGCTCAGGATGCCCACAGGCAAGTGTAAAAGCAGCGGTGATGTAGCTATTAATGCTAAGAAGCACCAAGCATTAACTGTTGGGAGCCGGCCATGGAGGCCCGCCTGAGCATTAGGGATCTAGGTGGGCTGCAGACCCTGAGACCACCAGGTTGGGTTCAGGAGCTGAAGGCCTATTCCCCCCTCCCTTCTTTGTTGTTTGGCATGACCCATGAGGAGGGACTTTGATGATTTAAGCATGAAGTTCTGAGAGTATGACAGGCATGGCTGACTCTAGGAATCCATTGTTCCCGTTTCCCACAGACTGCGGTTTCGGCTTTAAACTTAACACAGTTCAAA